CCTCCAGTGCTTTGGAAGCGCCGGAGATGGAAGGCAGCTGTATGGAATCCCCAGCAACAAGCTGCAGAAACTGCTGAAGGGGACAGTGAATTATTTTGAGCCTGGTGGGCCCATGGCACTTCAGGCCATCAGAGCAGAGATGCAACATAGAGATGGACTCATGATCGAGGGGTGGACTTAGCAATGGACACTATTGCCCAGGTTATTCACAAGTGTGAACACTGCACACAGTCTCTCCTGCTCTGAAAGACTGTTACAAGAGATGGAGCCTGGCATCATGGACCAGATGGACGCAGCAGCTTTATAGCTACTGGTCCATGCACTTAGATAAGCGTGATGGTATATTGAAAGTGTGGGATCTGAGCATGACGTGAATGGTATGGAATAAGGGGTGGATAATGTCCTGGGTTCAGCAGTAGCAGTCATGTTTCTCCTTGGTAGCTGTTTCAGTGCAGTGTTTTGACTTTCGGCCTGGGAACAGAGCTGATAGCGATGTTTTGGTTTGGCCAAGGACTTTGTGAGCCTCATGCTCTGCCAGGGAGGAGGGGAAGCCAGGAGGAAGCAGAGACAGGACACCTGACCCAAACTGACCAAAGAGGTATTCCATACCACAGCACGTCATGCCCAGGATGTAACTGGGAGTTACCCAAAAGGGCTGGGAGACTGCGGGGTTGGAGGAGGTATGGGTCGGTGCTTGGTCGGGCCTGGGGAGTGAGTTATCGGTTGGCTGGTGGTGAGGTGTTGTATTCTCTTCCCTTGTTATTTCCTTTATCATTATTATCACTGGTGGTAGCAGTAGTGATTTGTGTTATACCTTAGTTACAACTGTTCATATCTCAACCCGTGGTAGTTGCATTCTTTTTGACTCTCCTCTCCGTCCCTCCGGGAGCAGGGGGAGGGCAAGAAGGGGGGAAGTGAGTGAACGAATTGCCTGACTGGGTTTAAACCACGACAGGGTTACAAATATTTACATCATTTGGTCTGTGTTTGAATTGAACATCCTGCTTTATCTTGCAAACTGCCTGCTTTGTTTTGCTAACCGATCTTGACACTTCGATCTTGAAACTTCCGTTGAAGCTTCGTTGTTCTTTTTACCATTCCCAAGGCTTAAGCCTGACCAAGGCAATAGCACCTGGTGTTTTCTTTATGGCTCCCAAGGCTTAAGCCAGACCAGGGCCATAACACCTGGATCCATTTCATTAACTATTTCTGTCCCGTCACCAACAGGTCATTACATTCACCCTCGAAGTAGAACAGGACAGCTGTATTTTCCTCATGGGCAGGACATCACTGCTGCCCTCCTGCAGTTTGTATCCAGCTCTGAAGCTCTGACAAGATCCATGCTTTGTGGGGATTTTCTAAGCATCCCTGTGCTGTTAATGGAACTGGTTGGTAGTACAGCCTTTGCTGTGCAGGTTTCCAGGACCTGGTTGGCTGTCGTGAGACCTCCAACCTGGAGGTGGTGGTGTTCCACCACTGAAGGGATTTACTAATCCCAGACTGGTTTGGGTTGAAGGGACCTTAAAGCTCATTCAGTTCCAACCCCCTGCCACGGGCAGGGACACCTTCCACTAGAGCAAGTTGCTCCAAGGCCCCTGGCCTTGAACACTGCCAGGGGTGGGGCAGCCACAGCTTCTCTGGACACCCTGTGCCAGCACCTCACTGCCCTCACAGGGAAGAGCTTCTGCCTAAGATCTCCTCTCAGTCTCCCCTCTTGCAGGTTAAAGCCGTTCCCCTTTGTCCTGTCCCTACAGGTCCTTGTCCAAAGCCCTTCTCCAGGTTTCTTATAGCCCCTTTAGGCACTGGAGCTGCTCTAAGGTCTCCCTGGAGCCTTCTCCAGGTTCTGTCCAGCAGATGAGGTGTCACAGGATCAGAATTGCCTTCACTTTGCCTTCAGACCTCACTGGGCTGTTAGGACCCGGTTTAAAAGGGATTAGCATGCTTTGCTGGGCTTGCTTTTGAAGTTTATGACCATGGCATTGCCCTTTTTTTGAGGAAAGCCTGGAATGGGGCATGCTCAAGCCAGTCATGACTCAAATCTGCCTGCTTTGGCCTTTGAATTGGAATAGAACTTTCTTGGAAGCTGATATTAGGACCCTCCTGCTCACTATTGCAACATTCTCATGTTCCCTGTTTCAAATTCAGAACTGTTCTGTCGCTGCTTCTATGCTATGAAATTTGTGCTCAAAAGTCTTCACCCAAAGAGATTAGCTCTTTCAGTAGAAAGAGGTGTTTTGTGTGGTTGCTGCTAAGCAAGGATCCTTGTGCTGGAGTTCCAGATCCAAACAAAGCCTGGCAGAGGAGTGAGGATCTAAGAACTTTGCTCTGCAGAAGGATCTGCCCTGCAAGGTCAGGTTATTCCTCCACATAACGAGTTCAGGAAGCCATGAGAGAGCTTGCTTAAAAGTCAGTTTCAAGGGGGAAACATGGGACAGGTGTTAGTTTTAGAACTATCTAAAAATGAGATTCTTTGAGGCCATTAAAAGCTCAAAGCAGTTATCCCCTGGAATTGGCCATGTAGATTGTTCAGGGGTTCTTTCTCCTGCCTTTCTCCACACAGTCACTCCTGGCTCCTTACTGAGACAAATACTGCTGTTTCTAAATCAGTATTGCTTAATATTCTTGAGTCCTACAGGAGCTAGTTGGCCTGTGAGGGGACACAGCCAAAGCAGAGGAGGCCTGGGAGGCCCCAGGAGATCACTAACCCTATAACCAGCCCACCTGAGCCTTCACGGGTGAGGCTTTACATGTCCCCCATGGTACTGGGCCTAGCAGGAGTTCATATTGGCAGTACCACCAGGGCCATGGATGAGATTGCCTGACAAAGGAAGGGCTACAGATGTTGTCTGTCTGGACTTCTGTAAAGCCTTTGACACAATCCCCCACAACATTCTTCTCTCTAAACTGGAGAAATATGGATTTGATAGGTAGACTGGTAGATGAGGAACTGGCTGGATAGTCACATCCAGAGGGTCATGGTCAATGGCTCAGTATCTGGATTGACACCAGTGACAAGGGGCGTCCCTCAGGGGTCCATATTGGGACCAGTACTGTTTAATATCTTCATCAGCGACATAGTGGGATTGAGTGCATCATCAGCAAGTTTGCAAATCATAGAATCAAACAGATTGGAAAAGACCTTTAAGATCAAGTCCAACCATTCCCCAGCACTGCCAAGGCCACCACTAGCCCATGTCACTGAGGGCCTCATCTACATGGTGTGTGAACACTTACAGGGACAGTGATTCCACCACTGCCCTGGGCAGCCTGTTCCAATGCCTGAGCACCCTCTCTGTGAAAAAGTTTTTCCTAATATCCAATCTAAATGAAAATCTAATATCTAGATGATATGAAGCTGAGTGGTGCAGTTGACACACCTAAGGGACAGGATGCCATCCAGAGAGACTTGGACAGGCTCGAATGGTGGGCCCATACAAACCTCATGAGATTCAATGGTGCCAAGTGTGGGGTCCTGCTGCAGAAAAAATATGGACTCAGTCAGAGATCAATATGATCAGACCAAAAGCTGTTTATTGCAAAGCTTTAACTCCTTAAATACTATTGCTTACAAACACAGTGATTTGGCATATTATCACAGTATCACAGTATGCTAGAGATTAGAAGGGACCTCAAAAGATCATCTAGTCCAATCCCCCTGCCAGAGCAGGAACACCTAGATAATGTTACACAGGAATGTGTCCAGGCGAGTTTTGAATGTCTCCAGGGATGTCTTGAAGACCCTTAGGGACTAACATATAATTGGTTAAGCACAGGTGTGAGAACTTGACCTCGAAAGCTTGCCAACGGTCCACAGTTCTCATAACTTGGTGAATTCCAGCTTCTTCTTATCTTGCTTGCTTAAGCTTCCTCGGGCCTCTCATGGCCTTGCTGTATCTTTCAGGATTATGTTCATGTACCAAATATCCATTCTCCTGTGAGAACACTGTCTCCACAGGGTCCTGCACCTGGGTTGGGGCAACCCCTGGAATCATTACAGGCTGAGGGATGGAAAGATTGAGAGTAGCCCTGCGGAGAAGGACTTGGGGGTACTGGTGGATGAAAGATTGGACATGAGTGGGCAATGTGCGCTTGCAGCCCAGAAACCAACTGTATCCTGGGCTGCAGCCAGAGGAGCGTGTCCAGCAGGTCAAGGGAAGTGATTCCGACCCTCTACTCTGCTCTGATGAGACCCCACCTGGAGTCTGCATCCAGCTCTGGAGTCCTCAGTCCAGGAAAAACATGGACCTATTGGAGAGGGTCCAGAGGAGGGACACAAAAACAATCAGATGGATGGAGCACCTCTCCTGCGAGGAAAGGCTAAGAGTTGGGCTTGTTCAGCCTGGAGAAGATAAGACTCCAGGGAAACTTTATTGCGGCCTTTCAGTTCTTAAAAGAGGTCTATAAGAAAGATGGGGAGAGACTTTTGAGCAGGGCCTGTTGCAACAGGATGAGGGGTAACTGCTTTAAACTAAAAGAGGGGGGATTCGGGCTGGATGTGCGGAAAAACATTTGTACAGCGAGGGTAGTAAAATCCTGGCACAGGATGTCCAAAGAAGCTGTGGCTGCAGTATCCCTGGCAGTGTTCAAGGACAGGTTGGACAAGGCTTGGAGCGACCTGCTCTAGTAGAAGGTGTCCCTGGCCATGGCAAGGGATTAGAACTGGATGAACTTTAAGGTCCATTCCAACACAAACCAGTCTGATTTGAGATGCCTCGAAAGGACGAACCGGTGTAAACCCTTGAGCCCTGCAACAACCAATTCCTCCACCACACCTAGTTCCAACCCCGGCATTGCTTTCGCTGAGAAGAGGCACTGGGTTCAGGATAGCTCCTCCTACGCCACGCCCGGAACCCTTTATCCCGGCGGCGGTTTCCATTTCACCAATCAGGGCTTGTGCCGGAGGTGGAAGTATAGATGGGGGCATGGACAACTCAGCGGCTGTAGCGTGGGAGGTAGCTGGGCAGGCAATGGGTTGGGTAGGGTTGTGTCCCGTTCCCCCTACCCCGCAGTCAGCGCTATCGTCTCTTCATCCTCCAGCATCGGTGTAGAGGACGCGACCCAGCACCTGCGGGACATCCTCAAGCTGGACCAGCTGTGAAGTGAGGGGCGTGGAGGCTGCTGGCAACGGGCCGGGCTTGGCCTGGCCTGGCCGGAGACGCCGTGCTGCCTTGTTCTGGGGCTGTGGGATTCTCCTACGCAGGGTCTCCGGGGATGGGCGAGGCTCATCTCCTCTTAGGGCCCCGGCGGCATCGCCCTCCCCCAGAACCGTCCCGCCTAGGGTGAGTGGCCCTGCTACTGCCCCCGAGGTATGCTCGGGGAGTGTAGCCGGATGAGGAGAAGAGCAGAAACCCCGTGTGAGGGGACTTGTTGGTTGGGGAGGGTTCTCGTGGCTGAGCAGAGTGGGAGCAGTGGGGAGACAAACCTCACTGCTGTGGCTCTCTTGGCTCTTGTTATCCTAGAGGTATTGCTCTGGGAGCTGTCAATGCTGATCTCCTCCACCCAAGCCTCTTTTATTCAGAACACTTGGAGTTTTCCCCAGATGTCTTATTGGGCTCAGTGGAAGGGGCTGCTAGGCATCTTTGAGATCAATGCCATCTTAATTTTACAATCCCAAACTGGTTTGTGTTGGAAGGGACCTTAAAGCTCATATAGCTCCAACCCCCTGATATGGGCAGGGGCACCTTCCACTAGAGCAGGTTGCTCCAGGCTTGTCCAGAAGGGGCAGTCACAGCTTCTCTGGGCAACCTGTGCCAGTGCCTCACCACCCTCACAGGGAAGAGCTTCTTCCTTTCCACAGGTTTCTTGCTCCCCTTTTTATTATTGTGAACTGGGATCATAAATACTTCCCTTAAAATGATTGTGAGTGTTCTTCCTTTGCCTTGAGCTATTCTACTTCTTTGCTCAGAGTTCAGTAGACTCCCTTCTGCCTGTAAAAACACTTGTGGTGAACAGCAGCAGGCTTGGGAATCAGCTGTACAATGCTCTGTACTTGAAAGACTGAAAAGTCAGAGCAGAGATGGGGAGCACCTGTTTCACAAGCAGTTTCTGAGATGAAGGGATGTGTCATGTTTGGGGAATGGTTGGAGTTGTTTCTGTTTTCTGAAGATGATTTGAATTTCCTGTGAAGCAGCTTTCTTGGCGGTTGAAGCAAAGGTGGTATTTATTGAGTGTGGCTCCTTTCTTTTAATTTTTCTTCTTTCCTATTCATTCCTATGTCAACTCTAGCACCCAAGAAGACAGCTGAGAGGAAAAGGAGCAATTGGACAGTAAGTCAAGCAGTAAGGAACCTGTGCTTGTTCTCAGCAGAAATCACTGCCTGGGTAATAGCAGATAGATTTGAAAGAACTGGACATAATAAGGTGAAGAGCAAGTTTGTTAACTGAAAGCCTCTGAAAATCCTGTAAGGATGTCGGGAAAGGGAAGCTGGGGGTCCTTCAAGACTTGTGAAAGAGAATATAAGAAGCCTCATGAATTGAATGTGTAAGGCTGGTCCTGTCTGGTATCAAGTTGCTGTGGTCAAAGTCCTCTCTAATTGTGGTTTCTGTAATACCCTGGGCTTCTGTCATGTTTTAAGCCCAGCCAGTAACTTGGAACCACGCAGCCGCTCGCTCATTCCCCACTTTTCTTCCTGCTCCTGGAGAGATTGGGAGGAAAATGGGAAGAACGTAAACCCCACGGGCTGAGATAAGAGCAGTCCAGTAGCTAAGGTATAATACAAAACCACTACTGCTACCACCAGTAATAATAATAAGGGAAATAACAAGGGGAGAATACAATTGCTCACCACCTGCCAATGTTTACCCAGCCTGACCTGAGCGGTGATCTGAGCCTTCCGGATAACCCCCCAGTTTCTGTCCTAGGCATGGTGTGATGTTGTATGGAATACCCCTTTGGCTACTTTGGGTCAGGTGTCCTGTCTCTGCTTCTTCCTGCTTCTTGTGCCCCTCCTCACTGGCAGAGCATGAGACTGAAAAGTCTTTGATTGGAGTAAGCATTACTTAACGACAACTGAAAACATGGGTGTGTTATCAGCATTGTTCTCAGACTAAAGCCAAAACACAGCACTGCACCAGCTACTAAGAAGGAGAAAAATAACTGTTACAGCTGAACCCAGGACAGTATCCACTCCTTGTCTTATTGCTACAATCCCTGATGAAGAGTTCCTCTCCAGCATTCTTATAGGCCCCCTTCAGATATTGGAAGGCTGCTGTGTTAACCACTATACCACCAACGCTCACCTGGAAGACACCTGAAAACTGTTCACATATTCCACAGCTTGGTCAAGGTCGGGGATTGAGAAGTAATCTCTTCTTCCTCTTCCTCTGATTTCTGTTGTAATAACCCCTGTTCAGATGATGTCCCTTGTAGTAAGTGCACTGGGTCTTCATTTTTCTTCACTGCACAAGTTGCTCTCTCATTTGCTTTTCGCCTTGCTTATAGGGGCAACCAATATTGGCACGGGTTGGTCCTTTGATTTAGCTGTAATGTCTGTTTCTGTGGTTGGAGTGGCTGCAGTGTCTGTTGTTGGGGTTGGGATGCCTTTTGTTAATAGCTGAGACATGGGCTGGTACACGTGAGGAGCTGGATAGATCAGGTAGATCGTCTCTCAATTGTTTGAACTCCTGGGACAGTTTTTCCACAGTTGAAATGATGGAAGGGGTGAGATTGTCTTCGAACTCTTGGAGTTTATGAATCATTTTATCCACTGTTGGTGGTGCTATGGCATGCCAGGTTATTGCTTCCAATGAGTGGACATATGATGATGGTGAACTCCTCGTAAATTTCCACCACATGGGTCATGTGCATTTGACTTCATCTGGATCTACAGATGCATTCCCAGCGTCCAGCCTGCAGTAGGTCATCTCTACAATGGCTGATTCCCTCAGAGACTGGATGCCTTTTTCTAGTGTAGTCCACTTGGCTGAATGACTCATAACATCGTCCTTGTATGGAAACCTTTCTTTCACAGCTGCCAATAGCTGTCTTCAAAGACTGAGGGACCTTTACTCTTCTGCAATTGCTTTGTCAATTCCTGTTGCAGAATGACTCTAAGAGCAGAACCATAGAGTTCTGGAGGACTGTGCAAGCAAGGCAGGGGGTGGCCCCCACAGGTGGCCGGAGACCGGACCTGGGAGGAGAATGTGGAGGAAGCTGTGGGGGCTAACCAATACTGTTATGCCAAGAAGGAGTGGCTGAATACCACTCCTATATATGTGTGAACTGTGTCACAAATAAAGTAGAAGTTGCTTATCACCCATATTGGGTTGGCCTGTCTGCTTCTCCTCGCCACTTCCAAATGGCGCCCGAACAGGGACGCGGACTACAGGGCCCTGGTCGCTGGGGACCCGGATTACAGGGCCCCGACTAGCGGGGACCCGGATTACAGGGCCCCGACTAGCAGGGACCCGGGATACGGGGACCCGGGATACAGGGCCCCGGTCGACAGGGACCCGGATTACAGGGCCCCGACTAGCGGGGACCCGGGATACAGGGCCCCGACTAGCGGGGACCCGGATACAGGGCCCCGGCCGACGGGGACCTGGGATACAGGGCCCCGGCCGACGGGGACCCGGATACAGGGCCCCGGCCGACGGGGACCCAGGATACAGGGCCCCGACTAGCGGGGACCCGGATACAGGGCCCCGGCCGACGGGGACCCGGAATACAGGGCCCCGGTTGACAGGGACCCGGAACGGCGAGTGAGCGGCGCCAGCGGCAGCTGCCGGGAAGCACGGGCAATACTGCTGCGGTGGCGTGATGGACCCAGATCCTTGGACTAACCGAAAGAAATCCGCTGCTGGGGCGAACCAGACACTGCTGCGTCGGGAGGCCGATCCGGAGACCGAGGTTACAGGACGACCCAGAAGAAGATGTAAGAAACTAAGGATAAGGGTATTGTTTATTAAGATTTATGTTAAGCCCAATGCAAAGGTTAGGCAACAAAAGATATGAAATCGCTTACTCAAACAGTTACCAGACACAGCTTGTGCAAGATAAGATAACCGCAATCGCTTACACAAACTAAACCAATTACCGCTTATACAAACATAGCAGATGTTGACTAAAGATAACTGTAAGATGTTCCAGGAACTGGCAGAAATAAGACAAACAACTCCATATAAGGACATACGAGTAGAAGGTCAACTATGGGACAAAAGAGGAAGACTTCTTACTTCAGCCTCAACGACCACCAGGAGACAGAAGTTGACCCCCTAGCAACAGCTGAAGCATGCGCAGAGTACCTCCACTACTTCATGAACACGAAGTAAAGATGTATAAAAGGGGCTGTTTGAACTGCTCAGTACGGCAGTTGGCGGAGCGCAGACTCCCCTGTCGTCCAGCGCTGTTTTTGCTCATATTCTACTTGCTATAATTAATAAAATTTTAATTGGATTATGATCCGTTGTGGTCTCAATTTATGACAATTTTCTGGTGCCATGACTCGGATAAGGAGCGGTGGGCTTTGGTCCTCCGGGGAGGTGCCCCGCGACATTTTGCGGCCCCGCGACCAACAGCTCACCCCAACCTTACCGACGAACCTAAATTCTAGAATAATGAGCAAAGGAGAAACCGGTAAAATCCCATAAAATTCTGTGCACGGGAGTCCGGACGAAGACGCAGGATGCGTAAGTATATTGCAAAGTTGTTCGCAGGTTTGCCATTCGGGCGGGATTGGGTTTCCTGGAATATAACGAGTGAGAGGTTCGATATACTGAACCAAGCGAGTGTGGACTCTTAAGTACTGCGTCTCCCATATCCCACGAGGGACTGGGCCAGGAACAAGAGGAGCGAGTGAGTATGTTTGTGGATATTCCAGAAGATGGGGGCGAAGGGCAGCAAGCCTTCGACTCCCATGGGAAGGGTACCCATTGTACCTAAGAATACCCCTCTGGCATATATCTTAGACAACTGGAGATATTTCCTTGGAACCCTAGGAAAAGATAAACAAAAAATGATAGAATATTGTACTAAGATATGGGGAGGGAAGAAGATTTCTAAAAATGTCTTTTGGCCAGTCTATGGGTCAGAAGAAGATTGGGTAAGACAGCAATTAAACCTCTGGGTTAATAATAAAAAAACCCTTAACCCGGAGGAGAGT